GGAGACTGATCCCTAAACCAGGATGCTGTGTTTTTAACTTATTACGAAGAATATAACTGCCAGAGTGGAAACCAATGTTAGTGTGTCAGTATGTTCCCTCCCTTGAAGTGTAGTCTCCTTGAAAGCTCAGAACCTTTGGAATTATCAAAATCATAATTCTTGTGGATGAGGAGATCAAGGTGAGCCATGTTAGCTGGAGGAACTACAGTAGTTTGCAAGACAGGTTTCAATACTTGGTATCCACACAAAGCATATCCTGTGTCCTACTAAGGGTTTTCCTTTGCAACCAGGAAAGCGGCTTTGGTTCTCTTTCCAAAGAGATATTTGGGGTCAGCATCAGCTACAGGTAAAGAAGGATGTGTGGTTCCAAGCAATCCTCTGTTCTTTTCTAATATTATGTCCCAAGTTCCCTCACCCATCTACAAGGGCTGTCAGGGCCAATGTCAGTGGCAGACATCCTCTGATGCCTGAGGTTCAGCCGGGAGCAGTCTCCCCGACTCCTTCCTCGCTTGCAACACTGGAAGTGACAGATCCTAAACAGTCTTGCGTGTACTTAGTGTGAATCCTGCACCACTCCCCATCTCACACCCCACTTCCCCATAGACAATAGACACATGGCCAGAAGAGGATTAAAATCAGCTTTATTGATGAATTGAAGAGCACAGCTGGGATCTGAGGCCCAAGCGAGGTTTCTTTCATCTTCTCTGAAGTGGTGACAGCTGAGGGCAGTGGGTGGGGCTCACCAAACTTACCCACCCTGCCACAGACTGAGGCTGGAACGTGGAGAGCTGAGTCCTGGGGGCCCACCACGGGCAGGTCCTGCTGGGTCTGTTTACGGCATGGAGACTGGAAGCCCAAAAGCAGGTCCAAGAGAAAGAGAGAGAGAGAGAAGCAGGAGGACAAGTAAGCAGGGTCCTTTAGCACATTATCTCCACCCAGTAGAGAAAGGCGGCCCCAAGAGTCTCAAGTTCATCAACCACAACCATCCCGAGGTCACCCAGGTGGAAGCTTCTCCCCAGTCCTTTCCTTCCAAGCTGAAATGTAGTTAGGAGATCTTTACCCTAATCGGCTGAGCAAGGAGTGTATGAATAAGGAAAAGGGTTTCTCCCACGAGGTGAGGCTGGGTTAGGAGCCTGGGCTGCTCAGTGAACAAGTGGCCAAGGGCCATTTTGTGTGAGCCTCCCAGTGTGCAGCCACTAACACAAACGTGCTGGCTCGGGACTGGCTCCTGATACCTCACACCTGAACACTGACCACTGAATTCCTTTTCTTTCCTGTGCTCTGGAGCTCAGACTCCTGAGGACTGCTGAGGAAGAACTTGACAGACTTCGCCCACCCCCAACCCCCGGATGGGTGAAATGGATGAAGGAGATCAAAAGGTACAAATTCCTAGTTTTAAGATACATAAGTCCTGGGGGTGTAATACACAGCTTGGTGACTCTGTTAACGATTCTGTATCGTATGTCTGCAAGTTTACTAAGAGTCAGCAATCTTAAAAGTTCTCATCACAAGAAAAAAAAAATTTAACTACATGAGGTGATGGACATTGACTAAACTTATTATGGTAATCATTTTGCGATATATACGTATATCAAATCATTATGTTGTATACCTAAAAATAATATACTGGTATATGTCAATTATATCTCGATAAAACTGAAAAGAAAAAAAAAAACTTGACTAGGCTACCACAGCTAGGGTACAATTCAGCTGGACACCTATGGTGTTCCTGTAGTAAAGAGAGTCCCTTTTATTCCATTCAGAGTAACTAACACCTTCTGATTTAACTGTCAGGTGTGGAGTTGTTAGCTTTGGGCCAAAGCAAAGTGGAGGTCCTTTTAGGCCATGCATGGAGGGGACGACAGGAGTAGAATAGCAAGATTCTTCCAGGGCCTGTGAACAGATAGAAGTTGAATGGCAAAGTTGCAGAGCTGAGTCTGAGGTAGCTCTCTTTGGCACAGGAAGTGAGAACATACTAACTGCTGCACTCTGAACTCCTTCCTCCTGCCTGCCATACAAAACACCCCTTTTCTGGGTTTTTTTTTTCTGTGCTTTTCTATTTCTTTCTATCTTGATGCCACTAATTAAACTACAGCTGTCTTTTATATTTGGCTGCATTTCTAGTGCACTCAATAGTTTTCCTTTGAGCCTGGGTGACTTCTGCAAAGGAAGGGTTAATCCCATCCATTACCTGTGATTTCTTTTTTTTTCCCATACTATCACCATTCAAGGGTGACCTCATTTCATGGTAGCAGATGGCACCTTTCTGTAGTTTCCAATGGACTATTTATACAACTTCACTTTGAATAAAACTAAATGATTGCAGAAACATTTTTCCCCAGAGTATTTTTTATTAGGGATTCCTGCCACCATATTAACATATAAAACAATCTGGATGTTGACACAGAAATGCAAATTTCACTATACAAAGGCTCCAATCACAGGTAACATGGCCCCCAACTCTCTAGTATTTCAATGAAATCAATTCATTTTGATTTCTTCCCAGAGTTGTCTTTATAAATAGTAGACAAACCACAAAATATATTCCAGATACATAACATTTTACAATATGTTCCAAGCACGGACATAAATACACGATACTTTACCTACGTTTTTTTCATGATCCAACTTGCATTAGCACTAAAGACAAGATTGTGTGTGTATATGTATTTGCCATATGTGTGTGTGTATAAAACCACAAATGTACACAAATGGTAGTTTTCATGGAAAATTGAAACCTTTGAAACTGTGGGTTTTATCCACTATGATGTCTGAGAGGGAAAAGGAATAACGTCACAAATTCCTCAACTGGAGAAAAACAACTATGTATGAAGGGCATATCAGTTGTGTGTATACAAATACACACATATATACAGATTCATATATAAACACATATACCAATAATATGGAATATACATATACGCACACACTTGCTTTGAATTCTGTATCTTACTGTATTATATATTCTCCATCTTTGGAAGCAGTCTTTTCCTCATTTGATTCAGGCAACTGGTGACTGTCTTCTAAGAAAACGTAAGCAGATATTTCAAAAGACTCTGATTCTATCCCGACAAAATGGCATTTCGGGATCCAAGTTTTACTTTTGGTAGCTATTGTTTAAATTCTGCCGACCCTATCCTGTCAACTCCTTCACTTAAAAACATTTCTATTCAATACTGAAGTTTTTGCCTAAGAGAAAGAGATGTTAGCTAGAAAAGTTAAAATTATATATTTAATATTCCTTACTATAAATCTGCTTGGCTGGACTATGTGTGATACTTACTCTGTCAGTATTTTTCAATGTTTTATGATGGCTAATATATTAATTCCCTAGTTTAAAAAATATTATTTAGTATTAGTGTAAAATGGCAAGGGCTAGATGATTTGTTATGGTTAGAACTTCAAAGAAAATGATTTGAAGCATGATTAGAAGAGGGAGCTAATTTTGTGCAGACTACACTGGAGTACCCTTATGTAAGAAAGTATGACTTTAAGTCATAAACAAGGGGGGAAAAATCTTCAGCTTCAAAGGAGGCCATTTGCAAACTTTCCAAATAACCTATAGAAAATATACTTCTACCTTGGTATCAAATTTCAGGTATCAAATATTCTTTATTAAAAAGCAAAATCAATCACTCGATCCACATGAGAAAGAACACGCTATAAACTTAATAGCAAATTATACTATAGTTTGCTCAACTGAAGGCTTCATGAGCTGACTTTTAAAACTTATTTACAAAATTAAATGTCTAATAAAACACTTAGAACTCCATGAATGAGTAGGACTGGAATGGCCAATTTGGAGATTATGTTAATGATAGACTTGGAGTTAGGGAGAGATTATAGGCAGCCCAATCCCTTTGAAAATGTTCCATGCCTTCATTTACAATCTATGGAGAAATCCCTATGCTCTACGCCCTAGGCTCCATGCTCTTTTCTTTCACATTATTGGTAAGTACTGTGCATGGAAAGCCTCAGAGCCTTTCTGTCATGGATTTAATGGTATGAAGGAAGGTACTAGAGCATTTGTCCCACCGACTGTCTGGTTAGGGAGTCATTTCACTACTTCACCCAAGCTGAAATGGTATATTATCTAATGAGTTGAGTCCCTTCCACTTTCTTAATGAAAGCCCCAATTATGAATGAGTTAAAATCTTAAGGAAACCAGGAAAGGAAAAGAGTATAATGACCGCCACAAAGAAAGATCATAGGCATTTATCAAAAAGCCAAAATCCATTCTCTTCACACTTCTCTCTCTCTCTCTCTCCTTTTCTCTCTCTTTCACACACACACACACACACACACACACACACACACACACACACACTTCTTTTAATTTCTTCCACAGAATCTCAATGAATGGCATGAGGGACCAAAAAATGTGCCTTCAAGTTTCTCCACTTTTATTTAGATCCACTTAAACATATTCATGTCAACTTGGACAGTGAGTATACTGTTCTTTACATCATCCAATACCTTGCATCACCATCACTTTCATAAAATAGATCATTTGTCTACCATCACTTGCCTACCAGCCTCACCAGAGCTCTTGTTTTGCAACTTACCATACCAGTTGTCCAATTCCCATCTGCTTCCACTCTTGGGTTAATGTATAATAATATGCAATTAACTAGCATCTCCTTTAACTTTTTTCCTTTAAAGTTTCACTTTCTTTTAAAAACATTATTTCCAGAGCCAAAATATATGGACAGGATGCAAATGAAAGTAACAAGTCATCTTGTCCAAATACTTTGAAAAATGGACCCTGTGTCCACTTGATGCTCTCAATTTCTACTTCCTCCAGTTCCATCATCCGTTTCAGAAGCTTACTTTCTACAGTGTTTTTCTACCTATTTTCTATCTCATATGCAGGTAACAACAAATTATGTTCAGCCAAAAATATTTTAAAAAACAAAGCAGTGCCAAAACATTAAAAAATTCCTGACATACCCTTTGTGCGTTAGTCTTACAATCTGTACACTTAAATAACTCCAGGAGGCTTTTTTTTTTTTTTTGCTAAAAATTTACCAAAATATTTTGAACACATAAAAATATTTTTAAAAAAACAAAAACAAAAGCCCAGCATAAATTTAATTGTATAGGCATTGGTTAGAGAACATTGTTTTCACTAAGGATTATATTCAAAAAAGTTTCTCTTGGGTTTTTACTAAAACTCTGATTCTGTACCTTATAGCTTATAATGGTGTTAACTATTAAAAAAGGAGGAAATCTAATTCAGCTCAATTTATTATAATAGATAAAGAGTATGTCTGTACTACAATAAAAAATAAACATATTTTTGGTTATTTAGAGGCCATCTTCCTGACCTGTAACTAAAATAACTGTATTTGATTTAAACTTATTTACTTGCAGTGAATTATGGAAAGCTAACTTAAAGGTCTGAATAATCAGTTATGAGTAAGGAACACCTGTTGATGGTCCTGTGACCATTCAGAACAAGGCCTTTGCTGAAAAAAAAAGAAATCACTAGTATTGAATATAGCCCTTAGTCATATGAGATAGGAGCTTTATGAGCAACCCAGCATGTAAAGAACGAGGTTGACTTTGCCAGCCACCCACTCCTTGAGAGGACAGTAGTATTCATAGTGAAACTGCTCAAACTCGGGCGTCTGGCGGATTTCACATAAGAAGGAGAGATCAATACCTGACTCCAAAAGGAGAAGGAGCAGGGGGAATACAAAGAGCAGCAGGCCCAGGCCCACCACAAGGAGCCGGGAGAAACTCTTGACCAGTGGGTTCACCCGAATATGGCCACTCAGAATGTCATAGCTCCATGACAAAGCTTGGTGAGCTTCCTTCAACTCTTCTTCTTCGGCCATTAAAAAGGCATTTTCATCTGCTTCTAGTTCCTCAAACGAATCTGTGTCTTCTTTTTCCAACTCCAGCCTAGATGGACAGTCAAAGAGCATGTCAATCTCATCATCATCAATGGGGGTAGGGAGCAGGCTGGCACTTGGGTTGTATGCCAGTTCAGAGATGGTCAAGGGCTCTTCTTCTTTTATTTTATCTTCCTCTTCACTTGAGGGCTCTTCATACTCATGGGATTCCTTTACTGGTGAGCTGGAGGTCAAGGGGGCAGAAATGTCATCTTCTTTGGGCAATGGAACACCTGTAAAGAGACATATTTTTCTTAATTTTAAATTTCAAGTTTTCTTCTTCCACAAAAATCTGTAAATGGTAACAAACCAAAACTAACTAATGAATGGAAATTAGGGAATCCATGAAATTGTTCTGTGGAATCCTGACTTTTAACAAAGTCATTTTTAGTATAGATCCTATACCGTAAGTTCTAAGGTCAACATGTTAAACCCAAGATAACCAAAATAGCTCAAATGGTTGGCAGTATTTACAGTATTTACATGTGCAGTTATGGTCTGAAAACCCCCAACTTTGGTCATGTTTACAAGAACAAAATGACAAGAAATCACTATTATAATTTTGAGTAGTGTCTTTTGGAAGTCAACACTGTCATCCAATAAAGTATTGTAGTAAAATTAGTCTACTATCTAATGGGATATTTTATTATGTATTTTTTCTAGTCTTCATTCTAGGCACAATTTTGTGGTTTCTCGTTTCATATAACTGCAATCATATCTGTATGAACAAATTTACATCTTGTTCCTTTAACATTTTAACTTAGACATTTTCTCTGTTGACATAAACTCCCACTGGCATTTATAATGGTTGCCAAATTTTCTACTTCGTTAATACAATAATAGTTGCCTATTGGCAAACATTTAGATTGCTTTACAGTTGTGAAAAAAGAATGCTATGAGACATCTTTACATATACAGCCTTTATCACCTCTTGTTTCAGCTCATTTGACAGATGTCTGAAAGAAAAATTGCTTGGTCAAAAGGTATGAACATTATTTCTTAACCTTTATTGGGGGAGAGGTATTTCTCAACCCTTCACTTTATAATGGGAAACCCTTCAAATATCAGGCCTAAGGCCAGTTCTCCTAATTTTGAGTCTTGGGTTCTTAGTGGGAAAGGTAGAATCAAAGAAATGTTCCCCAGGAGGGATGTCCAGTATAATACCAAATTGGTAGCCAAGTACATTAGGTAACTATAAGCCTGCTTTTTTTTTTCTTTTTCTTGCGTTATGCGGGCCTCTCACTGTTGTGGCCTCTCCCATTTGCGGAGCACAGGCTCCGGACGCGCAGGCTCAGTGGCCATGGCTCACGGGCCCAGCCGCTCTGCGGCATGTGGGATCTTCCCGAAACGGGGCACGAACCCGCGTCTCCTGCATCGGCAGGCGGACTCTCAAGCACTGCGCCACCAGGGAAGCCCTAAGCCTGCTTTTAATGAATGTATTTCAGTATTTCTCTCTCCTCAAGATGTACAGGAAGTGATGTCACCAAGATGCCAACATCGGTTGTTCCTGACTTCTCTTCCCCTCACAGGGAGAACAACTAACAACCATTCACGGACAAGACACCACTGAGAAAATCCTAAAACATGGAAGTGAGGCTGAAGTACCCTCCTGTACCACAGAGACCAAGACAGACTGCATTGGGAGGGTAAGAGGAATGGCTATGCTGATCACACTGTTTCTCCCCTAGGCTGGCACAATATCACACTGAGAGATCTCCTCAGAGACTCCAGTTCCTTCAGTGGGAAAAGAGAGGCAGGGGTGACATCCAGCTCCCCACCTAGCATTGTGGGTCACTTTACGGGAGCCCTTACTCTGTATTTCACCCCCCAGTATCACAGGGGAATCTGTGGGGCTCAACCACTGGGAATTCATGATGGAGAAGGCGCGGGGGCTTCCAACAGTCAGCACTCAGATCTTGGCAGACTGAGTTCCTACCTGCAGAACCAAGTACTAGTCCCAACCAGTGGCTGTGCTCATATGCAGAACCTAGTTGGTGGTGCATCTAACCAGGGAAAGGACTGCCAGATTCAGATCCTCAGAGGAGGAGTTTTGACAGCCCTGGAGCCTGGTATACTCACACCCAAGCAGAAGAACTGAGTCATAACCCCACCCACTGTGGATCCTAGATCCCTGTCCCTTCCAACCAGAAAGCCTGTTTGGGAAAATTTGGGAGTTACCTGAAGTGGGCTCTCCCAGTCTTACCCAGGCAGGAGGTCTGATGTCATAGCTCCATCTGACAGGAAGGGCTGGTAAGAACACCTGGAAGCTGCATTATCCAGCCACACTGGAGCTGAGAGGTGGGCAGGCAGAGCTGATTGCTTTTAGAGCAAAGCAAGTGATCCAGTTTGGCCATGGAACTTGGGGCCTGGATCAGATTGATTGAAGACCACAGAGTGGCCTAGGAGCTGCTTCTCCCACTGTGCCTAAGTTAGCTTACATAGGGAAACTAAGTCATAGCCCGACTCATTGCTGAATACAGCTTTCAGCTTATCTGGCCAGGGAACCTTACCAGAGCACACAGAATGCTGTGTAGCCCATCCAACAGGCCTGCCTAACAGTGGCATTTGAACCAAAAGTATAGCCCATGGCTTCCCCTGTCTACAGAGCAAAACTGGTAGTCTCACCTGACCAGGTTATCCAGTAAACACTCTTGCCTGACTTGGGTCCCCAAACAATGAGCCATGCAGGCCCTGGGTCCCATCCTGCTGCCCTACCAGGGTAGTGAAGTTAATTCATAGCCCCATTTACTGATGAGGATAGTTCCTAGTCCCGACCATCTAGTAAGCCTGACCAGAAAATCCAGACAAAAGAGCCTATACTGTAGCCTCAGTTGGGCATGGAATGAAGCCCTCAGTCCTATCCAGCTGTTCTCAGCCAGTGGCACACACCCCCATCCACAATCTCAGAGCTTAAACAGTTGCCTTGCCCCAAAATAGACTCTAATAGCAGGTCTCACTGGCCCAAGGATGCTAACAGCAGACACCAGAAACTGAAACTGAGCTGGCTGATGAATCCAAAGCAAATCTGCAAAGTCTGGAAGAGGAGACCATTTACTCAAATGCACAAATACCAGCTTAAGGAATCAAGGACCATGAAAAATCAGGTAAATATGACAACACTAAAGGAAACTAAAAGAGCACTAATAACCCTAAAGAAATGGAGATCTATGAACTGTCAAAGAATTCAGAAAAATCCTCTTAAAGAAGTTTAGTGAACTACAAGAACACATGACAACTAAACAAAATTAGGAAAGCAATGAATGAGCAAAATGAGAAGCTCAACAAAGAAACAGAAACCATTTTTAAAAACCAAATAGAAATCCTAGAGCTGAAAAATATAATAACTGAAATGAAGAAATCAACAGAGATCTTCAAAAGAAGACTCAACCAGGCAGAAGAAAGAATCAGTGACCTGGAAGATAGGATATTTGAAATTATCCAGTCAGAGAAGCAAAAAGAAAAAAGAATGAAAAAGAGTGAAGCCAGCCCCAGCCCATAGGACTTAACAGGACACAATGAAAAGAAACAGTATTAAAGGAATTCCAAAAATAGAAGAGAAAAAGGACAGAAAATATATTAAAGACAGTAATGGCTGAAAACTTCCCAAACCTGGGAAGAGAAATAGACATCAAGAGGCCCAAAAGATCCCAAATAGGTTGAACTCAAAAAGGGCTCTACTGAGACATAAATATAAATTGTCAAGAGTCAAAGACAAAAGAATTTTAAAACCAGCAAGAGAAAAGAGATAAGTTAATGTAAGGGTGCGCCCATAAGACTACTGGCAGATTTCTCAACAGAAACTTTTCAGGCCAGAAGCTAATGGCATGACATATTCAAAATATTGAAAGAAAGAAACTGTCAACCAAGAATGCTATACCTGGCGAAGCTGTCCTTCAGAAATGGAGGGATAAAGACTTTCCCAAACAAAAAAAAAACTGAAGGAATTCATCACTATTAGACCTACCTTACAAGAAATGCTAAAGGGAGTCTGTTAAGTGGAAAGGACACTAATTAACATCATAAAAAGTTAGAAGGCGGTGTAAAACTCACTGGTAATATAGTCAAAGTTAGATTCTGTACGGTAATGCTGGTGCACAATTCACTTACAAATCTAGTTTACAAGTTAAAAAACAAATGTAAAAATAACCATACTACAATAATCTGTTATTAGTTATACAATAACAAAAGCAAATTGTAATATCAATAACCTAAAATGTGAGGGGGAGGAGAAAAGTGTAAAGCTCAGGGATTGTATTGAAGTTAAGTTGTTATTAGCTTAAACTGGAGTGTTACAATTTTAAGATATTTTTATGTAAGCTTCACGGTAACCACAAGGGAAAAACCTGTAGTAATGACAAAAGGAACGTGATAAAGAAGTCAAAGCATACTGATACCACAAAACATCAAAATAAGAAACAGCATGGTAAGAAACAAGGAACAATGGATCTACAAAACAGCCAGACAGTAAGTAACAAAATGGCAATCGTAAGCCCTTTTTTAAATCAATAATTTAAATATAAATGGATTACATTTTCCAATCAAAAGACATAGAATGGCTAAATAAATTAAAAAACAAGATCCGATGAGATGCTGCCTACAAGAAACTCACTTTAGACATAAAGACACACATAGACTGAGAGTGAAGGGATGGAAAACTATATTTCAAGCAAATGGCAAAAAAAAAAAAAAAGCAGAGGTAGCAATACTTACATCAGACAAAATAGAGAATGGACTTGAGGATATGGGGATGGGGAAGGGTAAGCTGGGACAAAGAGAGTGGCATGGACATATATACACTACCAAACGTAAAACAGATAGCTAGTGGGAAGCAGCCGCATGGCACAGGGAGATCAGCTCAGTGCTTTGTGCCTGCCTAGAGGGGTGGGAATAGGGAGGGTGGGAGGGAGGGAGATTCAAGAGGGAAGAGATATGGGGCCATATGTATATGTATAACTGACTGTTATAAAGCAGAAACTAACACGCCATTGTAAAGCAACTATACTCCACTAAAGATGTTAAAAAAAAAAAAGACTGTAAACTAAAAATGGTAAAAATATACAAAGAAGATAATGATAAAGGAGTCACTACATCAAAAAGATACAACAATTGTAGATATTTATGTGCCCAACATTGGTGCACCCAAATACATAAATCAAAATCTAACCCAGCTAAAAGGAGACATAAACAGCAATACAATAACAGTGGGGACTTTAATACTCCACTCCCAACAATG